AGTAATTAGGATAATATTTCTTAATTAATAACAATTCGATGAACACACATGGAACTGGTCACATTACAGAAAACATCCTTCTAAAACTGAATGTATTAATTCATTATTTCATCTTTTACTTCATTTATTTATATCAACAACTCCATAATTATTGTACACAACATTGTCTATTTTGAAATGTTTATGTAAATCTGGTAATTGTTATTAATGTGTGAAAAAAAATTCAATTAATCACCATATAAGAGAGAAAGAGAGAACTATAGAAAGAAAGCCAGAGAGAAAAGAAGAGGAGTTTCATTTTAAAAAAAAACCTTATTACGACCTGGATACAACTCCTTTCCCCCTTGAGAAGGGTAGCAATGTAATATAATAGTTGATTTTTTTTATATAGTTAGAGAGAGAATGAAATAATTAATGAGTTAATGAGCGATTTATTACTAGAACTATATGCTGGTATAGGTCTCATACACTTTCCTTACACATAAGTGTAATTACAATTGAAATTTTGTAATTATGAAGTTACGATGTGATCGAGTTAATATAAGATAATAAACTATGAAATATAATTCACATAGAAATAATATATAAAGTATAACATAATACTGTAAAAATGTATGGTGATTAGTGACCGTTAATCGATATTTATTTACAAAATAGCAAAATATCACTGGCACTATCAACACGTACACGCAAGAATGGCACAATTACACAGAAGACAAACACTTTGAGTGGGTAAAAATACTTTGATTCAATATATAAAAAATATAATTTGCATTGTATAAATTCACTTTTCCACATCAAAAATGTAATTATTATATGTAAACAATGTTTGTAAATCCCAGACGCTGAAGATGATCTCAAAAAAGATCGAAACGTTGGCACGACAAAGAAAATGTTTTTCTGAAACCTACATCACACCAGACTGCATCTCACTATTTCTACATAAATAATACTGTAAAGTGTGATTTTAAGCATATAATGCATACATTTTGAGTAACATTACACAAGATCAAAGAGTGGATAAGCTTAATAAGAACTTATAAACAATATAACTTCCATTAACATTATAATTCTGATGCTATATCTATTTACACTTTTACATAAAAGAATATTAACTGTTTTATCATAGAAGTATGTTTTGACCAATATAATAATGTTGGATTTTATTAAATTCAATTGTTTTTGTCCGCTTGACCAATTAATATCTTTCAAATAATTAAGGTTTTTAGTTGAGATAAAAAAACTCAGTGTCACGAGCGGGATTCGAACCCACGACCTTCGTCTAGATACGCCGCTGCTCTACCACTTGAGCTATCGTGACCTCAATCCGCTCGGACACAAACGTTCCATCTCAACCCCACCTTTTTTTAATTTCCCCTCCTTTTTGCCATTTTTCAAATGTCGTGTAATCTATTTGATTACGACAATTGAAATGGCCATGGAGAGCTTTAATGAAGATAGATTTATAAAGATTGATTTAAACTTAATAAATTCATTAGTTTCGTGGTCCGCTTGACCAGTTAATATATTTCAATTAATTAAGGTTTTTTATCTAAACTAAAACCTTAATTAATTTTTAAAAAAACATTTATATCAAATACTCCAAAATCTATTAGGAAAACCAAAAAAATAGAGAGATACCAGAGAGAAAGAAAAAATAGCAAGGCAAGAAGAAAGTGAAAAAGAGAGAGTGAAAGAGAGTAATGTAGAGCAGCAGAGAGCAAGAGGGAGTAGGAAAGGAACAGAGAGTGAGAGAGAGAAAAAGAAACAGAAAAAAAAGAGAATGAAAGCAAGACAGAAAAAGAGAGAAAAGAGAAAAATCTGCTTTATTTTTAGCTTGGTACAGTCTAAGTCTTTACAAACGAAATGGTCTTTCATTTTTATTTGCAAATTTAGTTTGTATTGGTTTTTCAAGCCTAAAATTAAACAACAATGAATGACAATTATTGGTTCTGACGGAAAAGTTCAATAATTCCAGAACGAATTCCTGAATTTTTTAGGATATTTTTTTCAGAATATAGAAGTGGTTTTTTTATTGATATCAGAAACTCGAAAATCCATTGAGGAAACCAGAAAAATAGAGAGTTATCCCTGAGAGAAAGATAGAAATAGCGAGACAAGGAGATAGGGAGAGGGTAATCCAGAGTAGCAGAGAGAAAGCGGGAGTAGGAAATGGGCAGAGAGAGAGAGAGAAAAAAAAAAGTAAGAAAGAGATTGAGAAAACGAAAAAGAGAGAAAGAAAGAAAATGAAAGCAAGAGAGAAAAGAAAAACAACAAATATTTAAATATATACTTAATTCATGACAGTTTATCTGTGTTTCAAAATCAAATTTTTCCAAACATTATTCCATAATTATATTATTATAATAGCCAGTAGCGTAATATACCGATTTTATAAACATTACATAACTAATTTAACGTTCTACATTTTATACAAGATACTGCCAAAACCTCCTATAAACATATTTAAAAAAATGTATACATTAAGAATTTTAAAGTTTCAAGGACATAATTTTCTATAGTTTTGTATTCAATAAGTTCGACTAAATTAATCGTACCATAATACAGATTTGGTTCGTAATTTCATCGAATTTGGTTCAAACTTCAAACAGGCCCGGCATGAACCATCCTATAGTCGCTATGAGGACTTTCAATCAAGCTAATTAGGCCATCATGCAACATAATTGAAACGGCTCTGATGCCTTTATGCAAAAATTAACACCCCTGCAGTGTTTTACGAACAGAAAATAGCCTTCGACTTTTATCCCTATCAAATATTTATAACAAAGTGGCAACATTAATGAACAAAACATTAATACTTTTTGAATACAGTTATACTTTATATTTCGTTTAATGTAGTTGAAACGGAAAGCTCTTTCGACTTAAGACCTACAGTAATTTCCGTTCCCTGTTACTTTTTTTAATGACCCGAGGGGACGGAGGAAAAATAAAATCGCTACCCTGTTTAACTATTTCATAAAAGCCTTGTCGACCTTTCCTCGAGGTGTAAAGTTTTACGGTTATACCATCTCGCGTTCTTTCTTTAAGGTGGTGTAAGTATTTAATGAACCTTACATGCTGCCTTCTCGAAAATCTTATATTCCAGCCAATTAAACTACTATCTATTTTTTTTCTTGCTTATGCTTTTATAATGCAAACACTATCTTAGTGAGATACTTTACTTCGAAACACAAGTTTAATTAGGACAAATTAAACTTGTTTACTTATTTATCTTTACTTAATTACTCTTATATGTAATTTTTTATGCAGTCAAAATTTTCTTTTTACTTCGCAGTCAATGAAAAATAATATTATAAGGTATGGTATCACGTCTACATTGTTAATATTATAAAATCTTTATTCTATTTGCTCTATTTTTTTAAAACTTGAACTTAGATTTTAATCGTAATTTGTATTTATTTATATATATTATATATTAATTTCTGTATACAGGGTGTTACGTGAATGGACGCGAGTACTTCAGAAGATCAAATTCGTCTGAAAATTTTATACTGTTCAAACTCTCTTTCTCGTATTCAAATATTTCACTTTTCAGGTTACTTTAACCTTTCTCAACTTTGTTTAATAAAGTGTCCCGTATCTCTTAAATAGATATTTTACCATAAATCAGACTTAGCCAATAGAAAGAGCATTCTAAACCTTATGACATTAATTTTTTTATTGTAACTTTAAGAAGTCACAATACAAAATCAAAGTTCAACTTTTACAAGGTTAAATGGTTCTTATCTAAAGCATAAGTAAAATTTTACTTATATCTATAAATACTGAGAAATATTGCGCTTGCAGAAATGGCACGTATTTAATTTCCCAAAACTCAACTATAACCAATGAAAATTTAACGTTTAATTAATAAATTGATTTTTTGGTTACAATGAATTAAAAAGACTATTATTTAAGTTTTGAAACTTGTATTAAAGTAATATAAAATAACAAAACGTAAACAAGTAAACAAAGAATACTCAAATCAAAATAAAGATAAGAAAAAATAAAAAGGTTTTAAACAATTAAATCACTAGTTTTCTGGTCCGCTTGACCAATCAATATATTTCAATTAATTAAGGTTTTTAGTTAAGATAAAAAAGTCAATTTCACGAGAAGGATTCGAACCCACGATCTTCGGCTCAATACGCCGCTACTCTACCACACGATCCACTTGGACACAAACGCCCCATCTCAACCCCACCTTTTTTTAATTTCCCCTCCTTTTTGCCATTTTTCAAATGTCGTGTAATCTTTTTGATTCTCGGCGACAATTGAAATGGCCATGGATAGCTTTACTACAAGATATACTTCATTTAAACTTAATAAATTCACTAGTTTCGTGATCCGCTTGACCAGTTAATATATTTTGATTAATTAAGGTTTTTAGTTGAGATAAAAAAGTTAGTGTCACGAACGGGATCCCGGAGGGAAAATTCAAAAGGTGGGGTTGAGATGGGAAGTTAGTGTCCGAGGGGATTGAGGTCACGATAGCTCAAGTGGTAGAGTAGCGGCATATCTAGCTGAAGGTCGTGGGTTCGAATCCCGCTCGTGACACTGACTTTTTTATCTCAACTAAAAACTTTAATTAATTGAAAGACTAATTGGTCAAGCGGACCACGAAAACTAGTGAATTTCATGAATAGAAAGAACTTTCAAAATAAGTTTGTGAAAAAAATAAAGTATTATATTTGGAAAAAAGTTGATCATCAGGTCGGCCTTACATACTAAAATGATTTGAATAGCACCATCAGATTCCGAAAAATTATCTTTGCGAACATACGTAATTTTATAATGAAATAGGAAGCGTAAAAATAAAAGGCCAGGTCTTTTATAAAAACTCACATGGTACGTATTTCCTGTTTCGCAGCCAGCTAAAGTTGCCCTTTAGCATAGGCAGGATTTGTGGATAAAATCTCGTTTTAAAATCAGACAACTATTCGATATTTAAAAATTAATTGTTGCATTAAATAATTAGTTGGCGTTTATTTTCATTACAGATGCAGCGCCGATCCTGATGTACAGTTTTATAGAACAGACTCTGCAGCCAGGTCCGGCGGTTTCATTAAAATGTACGTCCAGCGGTAATCCGACCCCGCACATCACATGGACCCTAGATGGATTTAATCTACCGCACAATTCCAGGTAATTTTTTACCATATTGAAATACAACCCTCTGATGTCATTTACCCGGCACTTGTTAAATCCGGCACCATAGTCAAAACTAAACAAAAGCTTTGTTATAATAAAACCATTTTCAATATTTCTTCTGAAATCGAGATTTGATTCATTTTTGCACAAGTTTGTTAGTAAATCGATTTAAGATAAAATAAAATACTTCAGTAGCTCATATGGAATCTTTTCCATGAATATTAAAAACTTTTTAAAAGAAGATGTCATTACTAGAACAGAAACACTTGCATCACATTTTTCACTGAATTTACTGCCTTTAATGTACCAAAAGAGTTAAGAATTTAACAGTGTGGGAAAAACAAAATTACAATTCACTCTATTTCAGAAAACATTTCTAATTTTTTTGTTAATAAAAATCTTCACGACTGTAGCTTCCATAGCTTTGCCAACGCCTTGGTGTAGGATCCGGCTTGGAGTATTTCTTGTCCTAGTTGCAAGAAACTGCAGTTACATAGACCTGCACAAAAACATAAAATGTGTTCTACGGTCTCCTCCTCTCAATATCTGCACAGTTTTCTTCTGTCAGTACTCCTATCCGGTGCATATGCTTTCTTAAGTGGCACTGCCCAGGCAGGGTTACTGAACCCGCACCCCTCAGGCAACGGGTTCATCAGTAGGGAGTTCGTAGGACCTGCCGGGTGGGCGATCAGTCCCACCTTAAAAATAATACTGAACCACGCGAGTCGAGTATCCAAGCGACTCTACTAATTGGGGATGTTTAGGGATGAATTGGTAATTGAGGTTGGACTCGTGGTGGTCGTGGTTTATAAACAAATCGTACCTTAGCTGGTGGGTATCGGCCAACCGGAGCCGGAGATAGAGTGCCTTCCGGCGGTGGTGAAAGGCATGGCTAAAAGGCTGTGCTGGAAACAACAAAACTGCCTATTTCAAGGCACATGTATGGATGGGCTCCTTTCAGGGCACTTCTGAACTTTAGCATTGCACCACCTCGGTAGCCAAGGGATGTGACAATTCCATGCATGTAAAATCTCCCTTGTGTTCTTTCTAGAACACTATGTGTCTAGGAAGTCCCCTTGGGGATAAGTCCGGACGTTAAAGATCCTCAACGCCCATGAGTAAAGATGGGAACATCTGCCCTGTCAAGAGTCTATCCAGAATCCTGGTTTGGTTGCGGTTGGCTTTCTGTAATTTTTTTGTAAGTTTTTATAAGGATTGTCCTTCTGTGTATCTCTTCGCGTGCCAGAGGTTTTGGACTCATTGAAGATCTATTTTAAGATGTAACATCTTTTGTGGCAGGTTGGGTTTTGAGCCCAGAGAGCCACGTGGACTCCGTTTTTGGCCAACATGTCAACCTTTTCGTTACCTCTATGCCCTGAATGTCCAGGGACCCACGCCAAGTCGTTCGTGTCGCTGACACCTATCGAAGTTCCAAACACTCTTTGCCTTCGCCTCGCATGAGGCTAGGGTTCTGAGTGCTGTCTTGCTAGCTTGTCTTTGGGTGCCACTTAATAGCCTTATTGCTTTGGCCTGAAGAGTTTTGTTCCACCACACCACCGACCATGTCAACATTGATCTTAGGACACAGGTGGATAACCATAGGGTCATTTTGGGGTTTAGACCCCAGTTCTTGGCGCAGAGCCTTCTGCACCTCCCCCAGGCAATTTTAGCTCTTTAGTTAGATGTGAATTCCACGTGAGCCGCTGGTCTAGCGTAATCCCTAGATATTTGTTCTTCTTGGAAAATGAAATCAGAGTCCCGTTTAGTCTTGGACTTTTCAAGCTTCCTGTTGTCCACTTCCTTGTGAATGGGATCATTATGGTTTTATGGGGTTGATTAATAACTCCTCCCTTTTGCACCACCTGTCAACCAGATTAAGGACTCGTTGAATACTATCCATCATGATGTTCGCATGGCGGCATTTTACTTCTTCGGTAAGGTCGTCCGCATAGCCTAGGCAGTATAATCCTTCTTGTTCTCACATTGTAGGAAATCGTCTAGCATAGGAGTATCTAATAAAAACCTTACATAGTAACAGATGGCCTTTGCATGTTGCACTCCCCGGAGACCACCCATGTCGCGGAACACAGCACCCCCAGAACGACGGAAACTACTTACGTCTTACTAGCTATTATTAAGCCTTCAGAGCCAGATGAGACGATTAAAACTGAAGGGCTTCTCTACCTCTCTGCAACTGAAAATTCGTTCCAGGAATTTCTCGCAATTTCATACTCCGAACATAATATGTTGTATTGTCTCGGGTTCATCACATGTTTTACCATTTTGGGGAGGATCATAAATGAATTCTATTTAAATAGCCCGATATATGCAGTGATTAGACCTAATTCTAATAATCGATGAAAAAAAACGCCTTGTTTTCTCTCATTGCGAAAAGCCAGGGAATGTAGTGGTTTTCGGTATTCAAAGACTTAAAAAAAGAACCTGCCATATCACTACTGACCAAAATGTGTTGGAAGAAGGGGGTATCCTTATTCGGCAGCAACGCTCCTTATCTTTGCTAGTTCGCAGGAACCTGTTCCTTCATGTTGACTCCCTGACAGAATCAGGACGCGATATGAAGAAAGATAGATTAAATTAAACTAAATTAAATTAATATGATATACATACATTGGACGACAAAGGTAATTTAATTTACATAAGTTAAACAATAAAGTGACCTGGCAAGGGTCAATAGATTAAATAGAATAGTGACAGACTTATTACAGAAAATTAATCAAACTTTACAAAAAACTCGGTTTTAAATGTTTTTCACAGTAGTTAACAATTAAGAGATCAAACACTTCAAATTAAAGTCTTATTAGAAGACGTGGGCTGCCGAACGGAAAGATCTGACCTGTGAACAGCAAAATGATGTGCGGCGAAGAATTGCAAGCGACGTGAATCCACAGCGATAAGCGGGCGAAGAGAAAACAAATAACTTCGTAATCCGGGGGGGTACTCGTAAATTGTAACTTCGATTAAAAATCGAAATCAAAAAAAGAATTAAACAAACGCGTTCGTCCACTCACCAATACTAACTGGCCAGCTGAACCCCGAGACCTTTTTTTTTGTTTTTTGTCTCCATGGATATTTGAACAAATAAACAAAATTTAAAAAAAATTAATAAAATTCTTTCCGGCGTAAACATACCCACTTTTTCCATTCCTCTGCCAACAATTTAGTTAATACTCTCGTTATTTTTGTGTAATTTGACGTTATGGACTTCTCCACCTGATGTGGCTTCTTTGCACAACCTCGTTAGCACCACTCCCCAGTGGCCGCTACACCAATCAAATGTAGCTTTCATTTGAACATTTTGATCTATTTCCCTAATTTCGTAGTCCGCTTGACCAATTAATATCCTACAAATAATTAAGATTTTTAGTTGAGATAAAAAATTCAATGGCACGAGCGGGATTCGAACCCACGATCTTCGGCTAGATACGCCGCTGCTTTACCACTTGAGCTATCGTGACCTCGATCCACTCGGACACTAACTTCCCAACTCAACCCCACCTTATGAGTTTTCCCTCCTTTTGCCATTTTTCAATGTCGTGTAATCGGATTGGATTCTCGGCGACAACACGACATTTGAAAAATGGCAAAACGGAGGGAAACTAAAAAGGTGGGGTTGAGATAGGAAGTTGGTGTCCGAGTGGATCGAGACTTGAATCTTATCTTTATTGTTTCCGGTTGGTAGATCGTAGGTTCGAATCCCGATTGTGCCATTGACTTTTTTATCTCAATTAATAACCTTAATTTTTTTATCTAAGTCATACGTTTTGGTAACTATTTCCGTCCCAGGTAATCACACTTAGACTTAGGTAAAAAATTTTAATTGGCGCAACAGAGCTTTTGCTTTCTGTCATTACACAAAATTTAGTTCCTTCTATTGTAGCAATATAATCCAGGGCTTTTTAAAAGAGTATTCATTTCTGCCATGCCGATGGCACAACCAACATGCCACTCATTGTCGAACATTATTGCTCATTTTTAATATAAATTTATTGATAAGTTTACTTACTTTTTGTTCCCATCAACCCTTCCTTAGTCTTCTAAAATCAAAAACAACAAACAATTTTGATTGTTGGACAATCAAACACTATCACAATTGAAGAAAAACGTCGTTAAAAGTTTCTGGGCTCGTTTCCAATGTACTGAGTTGTAAGAAAAGTCGATAGTTTGTTTCCTTTGTTAACAAAAAAAGAATATACACAATTCACGTTATTAGATTTCGGTTTCTAACCCGAAATAAACATTGATTGTTTTTACATTTACCTGTGAACAAAAAATAATTTGAATCCACAATTCCAGATATACAACATTCATTATTGATATCACATTCACTAATTTTCGTGGTCCGCTTTACCATGTTGAGATAAAAAAGTTTAGTTGAAAAATGGCAAAAAGGAGGGAAAATTCAAAAGGTGGGGTTGAGATGGGAAGTTAGTGTCCGAGTGGATCGAAGTCACTATAGCTCAAGTGGTAGAGCAGCGGCGTATTTAGCCTAAGATGGTGGGTTCGAATCCCGCTCGTGACACTGACTTTTTTATTTCAACTAAAAACCTTAATTAACTGATTGATATCAAGGTGTGTGCTTAGCCCCATGTTATTTGCCCTTTTTGTGAACGATATTGTTAACCTACTAGAAGGAGGAATTCTTGTTGGTAATACCAAAATAACAATATTATTATATGCGGATGATATAGTCCTAATTGCTGAGAGTCCGGCTAGTTTGCAAAATAATATTCGAATCTTTGAGTCCTTTTGTGATCTTTGGAACTTATCTGTAAACTTAAAAAAGTTAAAAATTATGATTTTCCGCAATGGGGGTAAACCGGCTGCCTCTGAAAAATGATTTTATAAGGGTAATAACATCCAAGTAGTGAATAGGTACAAATCCCTGGGTGTTATTTTTACTCCGCGTCTTTCCCTATCTCACCATTTTGATGCAAGAATTTCGGCTGCAAAAACTGGTTTAAACTGTGTCTGGG